CCGCCCCGTGCCCGGGCCCCGCTCACCGCGCGCCTCGGCGCTGCCGTACGGGAAGGGCAGTAGGGGCGCGTAGAGCGGGCTGCCGCTGTAGCGCAGGATGGGGTTGCGGCGGTAGATCTGCTCCAGCGCCTCGGGGCTGCCGCCCTGCTCCTGCGGGGAGCAGTGGTGGCAGCGGGCGCGGGGCCGGCAGCCACCCGTGTCCCGGCCACCCCTGTCCCCACTCACCTCCACATCCCGCATGAGCAGCTGCGTGGGCGTCTGCACGGGCGCCTTGCTCTCGATGACGCGCTGCACGGCGCACGCCCAGCGCACGGCCTCGTCCAGCCGCTCCGCATGCAGCCGGTAGCAGTGCTTCCTGCCGAACACCGTCACGCTCCAGTAGCCTGCGGGCGACACAGGGCTCACGCGCCGCCCCCGGCCGCCCCTACACAACCCCCGATCCCCGCTGCCCTACCCGTCTCCTTGTAGCTCTGCTTGTCCGGCCAGAGCACGGCGCAGAGGCTGGTGAGCACTAGCGAGCCCAGCCGCTTGGCCCCCCTCTCATTGCTGCTGTAGTAGTCGAGTGAGTCGGGCGTCAGCACGAACCAGTATCTCCGCGGGCGCATCCAGGGCGCCCGGGCGCCGCCGCGCACCTCGCGCTGCAACCAGCCTGTGGAGCGGGAGCTCAGCGGAGGCCACGCGGCGCCGGTGCTCGCGGCGCCCTGGGCCCCACATGCCCACCTTGCACCAGCGCCTCGGCCTCGTCCTCCGCCGGCCCCGGCTCCACGATGAGGCTCCGCATCTCCTCGGAGGCCAGCAGGGAGCTGCGCGAGACGCGGCGCTCAGCCGGGGCTCCCGCCGCTCCCCCGCGCCCCCGTCCCCCCGCGGTGGGAACGCGGCCACCACTCTGGGTGCAGATGACCCTGGCTAAAAATAAGCCGCTCGCAGCGGCGGCCCTGCCAAGGAATTCGGAAAATGAACAACCAGGAAGGAATGTTGGCAGCGGGGCGGCGCGGGAGGACGGGTGCTGCGTCGGGCTGGCCCCCGCAGCCCCCCAACCCCAGTGGTGCAGGGCACCGAGCACGGCCTCAGCATAGCCAAGCCGCCGCATGCCCAGGGCACGGGCCCAAGTAGTTGGCACAGGCAGGGATGGTGCCCAGGTGTGCGGGCCCCTCTGTGCCCACAGCGAAAAGCGGGAGGCGGCGGCAGCTCCTGCCGCAGCCCCGGGCACGGGACGCGCGCAGCTCCACTCACCGCTCGGAGCTGCTGCTGCTGCGGGCCGGCTGGCGCAGGCTCAGCTCCAGGGACCCCTGCGGAGCAACGGAGAGCCCTGAGCCCCGGGGCGGCCCCAGCGCGGGCCGCGCTGCCGCGGCGCGGGGCGCCTGTCCTCGGCTCACCCCGGCAGGCTCCGCACCACGCGGCGTTGCACAAGGTCAGTGCTGAGTAATGTGCTGCCGGCACAAAGTCCCATTGTCCCGGCCCGCGGCTTCCTGCCCGCGGCGGTGGGACGCGCCGCAGGGAAGTCCCCAGCCCCGCGGCACAAGCCGGTTCCTCCGCGGCGCTGCTGGCCGCAGCCCGGCCACGAGCCGGGACGCAGCCCGGTGCCCCAGGACACCACCGGCCGGAGCACCCAGACATGGAGATGGCTGCTAAAAATAGCTCCAGGGATGGGGGCAGGGAGCTGCTGGGGACAGGACGCGCAGCGGCAGCCCCAGCCTGGGCACAGGTGCCCCAGGACACCGGCAAATCCAGCGCCCCGTGCGCAGGGCCGGCTCTTGGCTGGCCCTGTCGCCCCGCGCGGCCTGGGGCCGGCTCCTGGCTGCAGCCGGTGGGAGGAGGCAGCGGCAGCGGCCGGCTCCTTCCCCAAGATATAAATAAATGGAGAGAGGAGGCGGCCGGGGCCAGGGCCAGGGCAGCTGGTCCCACGCTCCGGGAAGGGATGGCGGTGCCGCCGTTTTCGAGGAGCCAGCGGCCTCGGGCAGGCAAAAGCCTCTCCAGGGAAGCGGCACCACAGCGCCCACACGGGCCCTGACCTCGGAGCCAGCGCGGGACGTGGGACACGGGCACATCCGTCCCCAAGGCCGCACCATCCCCAGCCTCCTGCACCGGGGCAGCCCGGCTGCAGCAGGATTGTCTCCAGTGTCCCCATCCCGGTGGAGCATCAGCCCAGGAGCATCAGGCCATTCCACAGCACCCATGGCCAGGATGCGCAAGGGACACAGGAGCCAGCCCAGGCTGTGCTTGGCCACCACCAGCACACGTGGCCTCCCCTGGCAGGAACGGGCAGCCCAGCCTTGGGGCCCGGCAGCAGCCCCGCGGGGCAGGGATCCCCCCGCAGCGTTATCGCAGTTCCCCATGCAGCCCCACAGGAGGGAAGCGCCGCGTCCGTAGTGCCGCTTCCCCAGGGCGAGGAAGCAGCCGGAGCAGGGAGATGCAGGCTGCGCTCCTGCCTGCCGCCCCAAGGGGAAATGCCCCGGGAGAGCTGCCCGGTGCCGCGGGTCCGGGCACGCAGCTGCGGGAGCCTGGCAGTGCTGTGAGGACTGAGCCCCAAGCCGGAGTGAACTGCAGCAGTGGCACAGAGCCGACCTGGCCCTGGCATCGTGGCCACCAGCCCCAACATGGCTTGTGGCACTGACACTACATCTGCAGCCAGTGGGTGCCCTGGCACCAGGAAACCCTCAGCCCCGCATCTGGAGATGACCATCAGTTAACAAGAGCAGTGGTGCCCATCCAGGCTTCCTCTGAGAGGGGCCCCCCAGTGCCAAAGGGAGCAGAAATGTCCCCGGGTGCCACACCAGCTGGTGCCTTCTCTTGTCCCCACCACCATTCCTACCACGGCCCCACTGATACCAGTGAGAATGGACGCAGCAGCTGGGCCAGGAGCCCCTAGACCTGCTCCCTGCGGACAGCTCAGCCAGCCTGGACTCCAAGCCCAACTTGCAGGGGGATGGGAATGGTTGCACTGCGCGGCTGCCTGTGGCCACGAGCGGCTGCCAGGAGCCCAGAGCCAGGGGCCAGGCCCCATGGCAGCCCCCCACCCCGCACTCCCATAGCCCCATGTTCCAAATCCAGCACTCCCCGCACCGTCCCGCTCCCCGTCCTGAAGCGCAGCTTTGTCCGGCTGCCCACATGCCGGCGAGTGGCAGGCGGCCAGGGCGCCGCCGCGCTCGGCCCGGGCCCTGGCACGGCCAGGGGCAGCGCCGCCGTCCCGGCCCCGCCGAGCCCCGGAGCGCCGGGGACGCGCCAAGGGCAGCCGGGCCGGCGGGACGTGCCCGGGCAGGGCGCTCGCCGCCGGCCACGAGCCGGAGGCGGTGCTGGCAGCCGCGGAGAGCCCCGCGCCGGACCGGGTCGAGCTGGGCCAAGGCGCCGCGCTCGCTACAAGGTCCCGCAGGCGGCAGTGCGGCCCCGGTGGGGATCCGCGTCGGTCCCCGTGCGCCCGGGCCGGGCCGAGCCGCAGCCCCGATCCCCGCGCGCCCGCCGACACGTCGGGCGGTGCGGACCCACCTGGGCGCCCCGTGCGCGGAGCTCGAAGGCCGCCGCCGCCGCCTCCTCGGCCTCGCCGTCCGCCTCCCGCTCCGCCTCGCCG